CTCTGAGACCATGTTTTATTTTTATTTATTTTTTAAAGATTTTATTTATTTTTTTTCATGAGAGACACAGAGAGAGAGGCAGAGACACAGGCAGAGGCAGAGGGAGAAGCAGGCTCCATGCGGGGAGCCCAATGTGGGACTCGATCCCAGGTCTCCAGGATCACTCCTTGAGCTGAAAGCAGACGCCTAACTGCTGAGCCACACAGGCATCCTGTGAGACCATATTTTACCAGAAACATCTTGAATTTGATATTGGTCGTAAGGCCATTTTTACCTTGAGAATCTTTTGGGGCAGCCCGGGTGGCTTAGCAGTTTAGCGCCACCTGTAGCCCAGGGCGTGATCCTTGAGACCCGGGATCGAGTCCCACGTCAGCCTCCCTGCATGGAGCCTGCTTCTCCCTATGCCTCTGCCTCTCTCTCTCTCTGTCTCTCTCTCTATGTCTCTCATGAATAAAAAAAATAATAATAATCTTTTGTTGGGGGAGTTTGGGGATGATAAATAGTTTTGTTTTTGAAACAAGTCATGGGTCCTTTGAATTTCTTCTAAATTTTGCTTCAAAATTGAAGCAGTCCTTCTTCAGTTTATCTCTATCCATACCTTGTTATCAAGGCTAAAAGAAACCAGCCAGCACTTTCAACATTCGTCCTGGAGAACTCCTTCTCCACATCCACCTTTTTTGTACTTTTCATGTTGCTGCAGGTGACAGTTTTGACTGAAATTGGTGCTACTATGCAACATGGGTCTTTATGGCCTCCAACCACCACTTCCTGACATTTGTTCTAGGCTCCCCTAACATGTCTTCCTGAGCTCTCCAGGCCTCCACTGACAGCCTGTCCTGATAGAAATGCCACAAATTTCTATTCTGCTTTTCTGTTGCTGTGTAACAAAACTATGTCCAAACACAGTGGCTTAAAACAATCATTGTTATTTTTACATAATTTGGGGGGGAGTATTAGTTGGACATTGCCTGGGGCTGTTGAGGCTGGAAAATCCACTTCCAGGATGACTTCTACATGCCCAAGTCTGGAGCTGCAGTGCTCCTTGACCTCAGTTTCCTTCCGAGCAGTGTCTCATCTCCCATGGCCTCTTTTTGTTGCTTAGGCACATCTCAGTATGCTGCTCTCAGGGGTGTGGCCCTTTTGTACCTGATGGCTGTTTTCTAAGAGCTTGGCAACGAGCCTGGGAGTTCTATGAGACAGGAAGGGCGTTCCAGGCCAGTTAAGGGCTGTCTCATTCCTACCATCTTCTAGTTACCAAAGCAGTTGGAGTGGGATCACCCAGACTCAAAAGAATAGAGAAACACACTCAGAGTACCTCTTGATAGGGTAGTGGCAAGATCACTTGTAAAAGACCATGTGGATGGGAAGTGCCTTTGTAAAACATCTTTGGAAGTACACTCTGCAGCAGGGATGCAATTTCACATTTCCCAAAGGGATAACCAGTTGGACAGTCCATACTTTCTTATTGATCTGTAATATCTCTTCTCTTGTAAATCAGGTTTCTAAATAAATATGTATGTTTGTTTTAGATTGTCTGTCTAGACCCATGATGTTCACCTGGGAACCATTTTTTAGGGGACAGTGTCTGGAAATATTTTTGGTTATCTCACGTGGGAGGGTGTCCTATTAGCATCCAGTGGATGGAGGCCAGAGATGCTGCCGGACAACTCACAGTACATGGGACAGCTCCCAGCCCAAAATGTCGGTGATGTTGAAGCTGAGAGTCCATGGTCTTTGCCATTAGTGCTGCCCGACTGTGTTATCTTAAATAGCCTGGGTAGCTGGTAGGGCAAGTCACCTCACTTTGTTTTTCTTTCTATTTTTTTTTCACTTTGTTTTTCTTCTTTAAGAATGTCTTTTTAAAAAATTTTTTTAATTTATTCATTCATGACAGACACACACACAGAGAGAGAGAGAGAGAGCGAGAGAGAGAGACAGGCAGAGGGAGAAGCAGGCTCCACGCAGGGAGCCCGACGTGGGACTTGATCCCGGGTCTCCTGGATCACACTCCGGGCTGAAGGCGGCGCTAAACCGCTGGGCCACTGGGACTGCCCAAGAATGTCTTGATTGTTGTTGGCCTCTTGCATTTCCATATACATTTTACAGTCAGCTTATCATGTTTCATAGGAAACTTTTTTTAAATAATAAATTTATTTTTTATTGGTGTTCAATTTGCCAACATACAGAATAACACCCAGTGCTCATCCCATCAAGTGCCCCCTCAGTGCCCGTCACCCACTCACCCCCACCCCCCGCCCTCCTCCCCTTCCACCACCCCTAGTTCGTTTCCCAGAGTTAGGAGTCTTCCATGTTCTGTCTCCCTTTCTGATATTTCCCACTTATTTTTTCTCCTTTCCCTTTTATTCCCTTTCACTATTATTTATATTCCCCAAATGAATGAGACCATATAATGTTTGTCCTTCTCCTATTGACTTATTTCACTCAGCATAACACAGGAAACTTTTTATTTTGATCAGAATTTCTTCATAAATATCTATCTTCATGAGGAGTATTGACATTGACATTTTACTGTTGAATATGGGTGTTGAATCTTCTTATTTAATATATCTATCAATTTACATCATTAGTGTCTTTCAATAAAGTTTTGTAATGTCCCTATTAAATAAATAGGGCTTGCAAATCTTTGATGCAAGATGGTTTGTTCTCTCAGCCTGTTCGTTGTGAGGCTTTCAGTAAGTTTGCTTTCCTCTTTTGGGGCTTCATTTCCCCAAGTGAAAAATGTGACATTTGGATTAGGTCATTTCTGACAGGCTTTGAAGCCTGAGTTGACATAATTGGAGTGTTAAAATTACAGGGAAAACTCTCAGTGCACGCAGTAAAAGAAGTCCATGAGGGGGAGCTCTGCTGCATTTTTATCTTTGGCCAGATTGCCCTAAAGATCCCACACCTGCTGTGACAGCTGCAGATATTATGGCAGAGATCTCATCTTCCCAGGGTGAAGGAAGAATGTGGCTCCCTGGTAGCTCTCCTATTACAGTTCTTCACATGAGAACTACCACTTTGGTTTTTGGAAGGTATTAATTGTTTCTGGGTGTGAGAATACAGGAAACACATTTTGAACCCAGGAGAACATTTATGGGGTCATCTTTATTGGACAAATGAATAAACTTTAACTGAGACACACTGTTACTTGCCAGAAGACAACACAGACTGTTGGTGAGAGAATTAGGGCTGGAACTCAGGTCATATTTTCACACTTAAGTTGAAGGAGTTGGGATGGTAAGCAGTGGGTATTAGTGGTGGGGTGAGGGGTAGGGATGGTGTTTAATTTTTAAGGAACTGAAAGATGGGTGACCTGTGAACTCCCTGGACATGTTTGTAACATTATATGTGTGTGTAAATGTGAGAGAGTGTGCGTGTACCTGAGTGTGCACACGTCCTATATACTTTGGTTGGCAGTAGGGCAGTAGGACTTTTTTGTGATTGTTGGCTTCTTAGCAATAGGATCGGACTTCTGCAAGTCAGCCTTTACTTAAGAGTCAGAGTAACTTTCACTGGCTTTGGAGATTTATTTAATTTGTATTTTGGAATTGTTTGGAAATACCTGCCTTGGAGATAACTTGATTAAAAAATTTAAGCTGTCTTTCAGTTTATTTATCTTTAACTCAATTTAATTTCATTTTTTTTTCTCACTGACTTTTCAAATAAAGTGTAGTTATTGGATATTCTTTTCAGAGAAGATGAAACTCAATTTCATTAGCCTCCCTTTTTCAAGTCTCTTGTGACTATTCTTGAAATATTCCTCTATAGTGCTTATTATTTGTGATTCTTCTGATTCACCTCAATACAGACTTTTTTTTGGTAAACTATAGACATTTAAAAATTCTTTATATCTCTATGCATTTTTCTTAAGAATAAGATCTTTATTGTTTATTTGAATTATTTTTCCTGTGGGTATCATGGATAAGATTTTAAACCTTTGTTTTGGCTTAAATAAATAAAAAGTAAACTACCTCCTGACTTCCATGTCAACATTAAGAAGGAGAATTCTTGGGACACCGGGTGGCTCAGCGATTGAGTGTCTGCATTTGGCTCAGGGTGTGATCCTGGAGTCCTGGGATCGAGTCCCACATCGGGCTTTCTGCATGGAGCTTGCTTCTCCCTCTGTATCTCTGCCTCTCTCTCTGTGTCTCTCATGAATAAATAAAATCTTTAAAAAAAAAAGTTCTTGTGTTACTCTTTCAAGGCAATGCAATCTCTCTTTCTAACAAACAGAAAAAGCTCCTCTGAAGAAAATTTGTATTTAACTACTTTTCTATTACTCTTTATCAGATACGGTCTAGACTAGCTTAAAGAGAGTTAGATTGTACTTAGGCTTCTCTGTGTTAGTCCAAGGAGTGATGCTGCCAATGTCTTGGAGGGATAGGGACAGAGAAGCATATAAAAGGGCAAAGAAGGACATTGGGTAGCTTTCCCCCCCTCTAAGTGAAGTGTTCCATATACAAAGGAAAGAGGATTAATCTATACCTGAATTAGTTATAAAAATGAATATTAGGCTGTAAGAGTCTTGTGCCAATATATTCTTTCTCAGCAAGTATCACAGAGAATTCATCTGTCCATAAGTTCTATTTATATATGTACCATCTATAAATTCTGGAGAGAGTTGCGAGGTGGTAAGGATTTCAAGCTGGGTGAAAGAAATGGATATTACTTTAGCAGCCCGTGAAGAACATCTTTAATCATGAAAATCATTTGATAAGAGAACAAATTTTATTTATTTCATAATGTATCACATGTTCGATTCCTGTTTTTCTTCATAAATGTTTATGATAGGCGTAATGAATGAACGTTGACAAAAAATCCCATGTTGAGTACAGTAAGCCATATGTGATAATTTGATTGAGTATGACCTCATTTATTATCTGAAGTTTGGAATTATTACATAAATTCTCAAGGATGCAAGAAATGAGAACTATTGTTAAAATACCCCTATGTCTCCCATTGACAGCAGTAATAAAGATTTCCTTCTTGGTTTTTAGATTTCCTCCTTCTTCACCCCTGAAACCATATCCAAAGAAGCCTGCATACCAAAAGGATGTTATTAAATTTCCCGAATGGAATGACCCCCCACAGAGCACTTCACAGGAGAACATCCCAGTAAGGCCGGTTGTGATGGTAAGTGTGTTACTGAAAGATGGGCAGGGAGGTGGATGTGGAGTGGGTGGGATGGATGTGGTAGTGACGGTGGCTGGGGGTGAGGCTACAGCAGCCAGAAGTAGGAAGGGATCTGTAAACCACCAGCCTTAGTCTACTTCTTTTTATGAACAGTGGTCTAAAAGTACTTTAAAACACTAGCTTATGTGTCAATAGCTGAGAGAACAGTAACAGAGAAAGATTAGCTATTGGCCTCTTTCTCTCTTGCCTGTTGACATTTTGACCAAATACATAGTAGCTATTTTCATAGGTTCAGACCAAGCAGGTTTCTGTGGCAACTCCCTTATATAATCTCCTTTTCTTCTGTGTTCTAGAAGTTACCCTTTTCTCTCTTTGTATACTCTTGAATTTTGTTCTAAGTATTAGCAGTTGAAAGTAAGAAGGTTAGGGTGTGAAGTATTGTGGAATGATCCCTAATAGATGAACAACGGTAGATTCTGCTAGTTTTGGAAAAAAAACTAATAAGCTTATTGTAGAATAGAATATAATTTTTTTGCATACTTTTTCTTAAAAGTATTCTTAGTAGAAGGCTACTATGATTGAGACAGTGTTAAAAAATATGGGGATCCCTGGGTGGCGCAGCGGTTTAGCGCCTGCCTTTGGCCCGAGGCGCGATCCTGGAGGCCCGGGATCGAGTCCCGGGATCGAGTCCCACATCGGGCTCCCGGTGCATGGAGCCTGCTTCTCCATCTGCCTATGTCTCTGCCTCTCTCTCTCTCTCTGTATGACTATCATAAATAAATAAAAATTAAAAAAAATTAAAAAAAAATAAAACAGAGAAGAACTTTTATATGGCACTTTTTCAGAATTGTACTCACAAATTTTTTTTAAGTTAATATAGTCTAATAGATGTCCAATTCATACTTATTTGCAAAGATGTGATGTAAACATTTTAGGCAATTTAATTTTTTTTTAAATTTTTTTATTATTTATTTATGATAGTCATAGAGAGAGACAGAGAGAGAGAGGCAGAGGCAGAGACATATGCAGAGGGAGAAGCAGGCTCCATGCCCCGGGAGCCCGACGCGGGACTCGATCCCGGGTCTCCAGGATCGCGCCCTGGGCCAAAGGCAGGCGCCAAACCGCTGCACCACCCAGGGATCCCCTTAGGCAATTTAATTAAAAGAAAACCCTTTTTTTTTTTTTTTTTTCCCCTGAAGAGATTGTATTCTCTCTTTGAAGAGAATAATAGTTAAGAAGCTTAGGCTTTTTTTTTTTTTTTAAAGATTTTATTTATTTATTCATGAGAGACAGAGAGAGAGAGAGAGAGGAAGAGACACAGGCAGAGGGAGAAGCAGGCTCCCTGCAGGGAGCCTGATGTGGGACTCGATCCTGGGGCCCCAGGATCATGCCCTGAGCCGAAGGCAGACACTCAACTGCTTGCCACCCAGGCGTCCCAATTTTTTCAAAGATAATTCAGGAAAAAGAATGACACCAGGACAGAAATAGAGACTCCATAAAGGCTTACAGGTTTGTCAGGACAGTGATGAATTTGGTTTTAAGTATGTTTGATGATAAACATGGCTTGTATTAAATAGAGGTGTCTCATAGGCAGATGGAGATAATGATCCTGGAACTTAAAGGCAAGATAATATTTGGAAATCATTAATTTAGTCATTCAACAAATATTTATTGGGTGTCTGCTGCGTACCATGTATTTTGTTAGGCTCCACGGATACAGTAATATGTGATACAGTTTTAACTCTAAAAAGGCTCATAGTCTAGTGAAGCATACAGTACAAAAATAGATAATTAGAAAACAAAGTGGAAATACTTTGGGTATTTGAGAACTTTTAATTCATTCCTAATGAGGAGTACTTAATCAAGGCCTAGCTGATAGTTCCTGTCTAGAGAAAATTAAAATGTAAGTTGCATGAGATCAGATACATTTTTTTTGAACATTTTCATTTCAACATCTAGCATGTTCCCATTGATAGAGTGGTTATTCAACAGACATTTTTCTTTTTTTTTTTTTTTTAAGATTTTTATTTATTTATTCGTGAGAGAGAGAGAGAGAGAGAAGCAGAGACACAGGCAGAGGGAGAAGCAGGCTCCCTGCAGGGAGCCCAATAGGCGACTCCATCCCAGGACCCCAAGGTCACGACCTGAGCCAAAGATAGACGCTCAACTGCTGAGCCACCCACAGGTGCCCCTGATTTCCTTTTTTCAGTCGGTTGGGTGTCTGCTTTCAGCTCAGATCATGATCCTGGAGTCCCAGGATCGAGTCCTGCATTGGGCTCCCTGCTCAGCAGGGAGTCTGCTTCTACTCTGCCCCTCTCCCAGCTCATTCTCTCTCTCTCTCTCTCTCTCTCTCTCTCTCTCTCTCTCTCTCTCTCTCACTTTCTTTCTCAAATAAATAAATAAAATATTAAAAAAAAGAAACAATTTTTCTTAAAGAACTTGAGCTCATCATTCATTTTTTTCTGTTCTACTTTCCTGGTTGCTATCTTTGCTTCCTCTTTGCTTGTTAGTTTTTGTTTTTGTTTTATTCTGTCTTTTCTCTTGCTTCACCATTTATACAAATAAAAAATATATGATAATAAAATAAAACTTGTGCTTGTTGAGGGGCAGTACAGTGTGGAAAGTAAGATATTGGACTACTGGGTTTGGATCTTGATTCCTACATTTACCAGTTATTTGGGCTTGTTTCTGTGGTTTTTTTTTTTTTGTTTTTTTTTTTTTGGTTTGGGCTCAGTTCATAATCTCAGAGTTGTGAGATCAAGCTCTGCATTGGAATCTGTGTTGGGCACAGGGTCTGCTTGAGATTCTTCTCTTCCTCTCCTTCTACCCCTCCTGCCCTATGCTTACACACTCTCTCTCAATAAATTAATAAAATTTTTCTTAATGGTGAAACTGAGATGGTAATAGTACCCTCTGGGGTAGGCTTGTTAGAATCAAGTGAGGTCATACCTATAGAGTGCTTAGAGTCATGGCTGGCACACAGGTGTTCAGTAACTGTTAATTACTATTGATGTTACACATTTATTTAATAGAATTGTTTTTAGGCAGAAACAAAGGAAAATAAATTACTCATGATATCATCCAGAGAGAATTGATATTAACATTTATGTGGTGTATCCTTTTTATCATACAAATTTTTAACACAAAAATGAGACCATGTTGAGCTTTTCATAGCCCATGTTCTTCACAATGTGCTTAGCTTTTTTTATGTTATTAGACATTTGACATGATTTTTTAATATCTGTATCTTGTCTAATATAAAAGTAATATATTTTATTTATCCTGTATTTTACTGTCAGATAATATACACTGTTTCCAGTTTTTTAGTGAACAGTTGTAATGAGCAATATGTTTACAGATAAATAGTTGAATATATCCATGGTGTTTCTTTCTTTAAAAAAAATTATTTATTGAGAGAGAGAGTGTGAGGATAGGGCAGGAGGCGTAGAAGGAGAGGGAGAGAAGAATCTCAAGCAGATCCTGCGCCCAACACAGATTCCAATGCAGAGCTTGATCTCACAACTCTGGCATTATGAACTGAGCCCAAACCAAGAATTGGATGCTGAACTGACTGAGCCACTCAGGTGGCCCCATGCTATTTCTTTAAAATAACTTTTGGAAGCAGTTTTGCTAGGCAAATGCAATCATTTATATGCCTGTCTTCAAAAATGAACACCTAATTTAGATACTTTAAACAAAATTCACAAATCCACATGGGCTTTGACTTTCTTTTGTAATTGAGTAATTCTGCAAGAACAGAATCACAAAACAACTTTCTGGCTGTTTTTCCAAATTTATAAGATTTTTCTATCATGATACTTTTGTAAAAATATTACAGAAAATCTTTGTAAATAATTTCTTAAGTGTTTTTCCTCTAAAACTTCAAAGTTTCGGGATCCCTGGGTGGCGCAGCGGTTTGGCGCCTGCTTTTGGCCCAGGGCGCGATCCTGGAGACCCGGGATCGAATCCCACATCAGGCTCCCGGTGCATGGAGCCTGCTTCTCCCTCTGCCTGTGTCTTTGCCTCTCTCTCTCTCTCTCTCTCTCTCTCTGTGACTATCATAAATAAATAAAAAAAAATTTAAAAATAAATTAAAAATAAATAAAACTTCAAAGTTTCTGTGATTACAAAAAGGAAGTTTTAAGAATCAAATGTCTAGTAGCCTAAATATGAGAAAGGAGATACTGAGAATTTTGAACTGGTGAAGCTGTGTGACTTTGAGCATATTATTTAACCTTCTGAGCTGTAGTTTTTCTCCTTACTATCTCCAGTTGTCCTGTGGAGCTCTTGTTTTTACTGCCCTCTGCAGTTGCCTAACATCTGGGTCTGCTCTTCAACATTGTACTTATTTGATCTTTGCTTATTAAAAATAGAGACTTCTTGAAAGTAACAGACTTTAAGTTTATTTCAAACAATCACTCAGTTTGGACAGCGTATGAATATTGGTGGATATCCTTTGACTTAATTCTGAATTTTATTTCATGGCTACTTCATTGATGAGTTGGAATTCCCACAGGAAAGAAATAGTCAATGTCATGCTAATTGCCATAGTTCTTTTGTAATTTATAAATACTCACTTAAAATGTGACCTGATCCTTCAGAGTTATACCTTACTTCTTGGTAGTCTATGCAAAGAAAGTTAGTTTATATTTCTAGTTATTATTTTAAATCAAGCTACAAATAACCAAGCCAAAGAAATTTCTGGTAAAATCATAGTCTTGTCTATTGAAATATTTCTTCTTTCTTTCTGTCCTCCCCCCAAATAGAACTCTGAGATGTGGTATAAACGTCACAGTATTGCTATTGGAGAGGTGCCAGCTTGCCGTCTTGTCTACCGCAGACAGCTGACAGAGGCCAATGTCGAAGAGATATGGAAGTCTATGACATTATCGTAGTATGTGCAGTTTATATTAATGAGAACTTTCAGTGTTCTCTTTTCTTTTTCAATTTTGCTCCTCTACTACTTTCTGCATATTTGATTTTCTGAAATTATGTATTAAAATCTTTGTATTATTTGCAGCTGTGCTGCTTGGCAAACATAATTTAACTAAATTCTGGAAATTTTCTACCGTCATTTATAGAATAGCTAAGAATAGAAACTTCAAAGTTCTTAAACTTCCTATAACACTGAAGCTTTATGTTTAATGAAACACAGTGGTAAGTTTGATCTCCTAGATATTTGGCATACAATAGATAATTAAAGTAAATGATGTTATATAGAAGGTTTTTTTCCCCTTCACAGACATACTAGTAGCAGTTTCTCATCATTGGATAAGCTGGCTTTCGTTTTTTATATCTTTACTTATGAAATATATTTCTTGGCATCGAAGCATTATGTTATTAAATTAGTGAGGCAATCTGTTAATAGCCAAAGGATCTTTTAAATTTGTTTCATCATATTCAATTTCTAGCCTTTTTGCCAAAGATTGGATGAAATGCATGAAAACAACACATTTTAAAGATTGATCTTTTACATGCCAGGTTTTGGGGTAATGTTGATTTTTTTTTTTAAGTACTTAATTTTCATGTATCTTTCCAGCTTACAGAAAGTCCTTGGCCTGGATTCTTTGGAAGAAGTCTTAGACATTAAACTGGTCAACTCCAAGTTCATCATCCATAATGTGTACAGTGTGAGCAAGCAGGGAGTTGTCATCCTTGATGACAAGTCAAGTAAGTGCCTAAAAACCATGCTAGTGGTCCTGTTTTGACCCACTATGTTGACTGCACAGTCCCATCAGCTTTTTTTTTTTTGATCCTTCCCTAAATCCTCAATAAATGTATCCCCTCAGTATTCATAGCGGTGTCTCACTTCCTCGTATCTTTTAAATAATTATGTGGATTAAGGAAGTGACAAGGAAAGGTGAATATCCAGGACTCAAAGCCTCAGCACAGTCCATCCAGAGGCTAGTTCAGTGTTAGCTATATAGGGCATTAAGTAGTTCTTTATCATTCACGGAAAATCCCTGAAAAGTAAGTTTAAGACCTAACCGAAAAAAAAAAAAAAAAAAAGACCTAACCTAATACTTGAGTTAGTTTGCCACTGACTGGGCCTTAGAGATTGATTTTAGGTTTCAAGTGGGTCTGACTGATTTTTGGTTCTCACTGACCTTTTCGTTACAGTGTCTCTGTGGTAGATTTTCTGGGAGAGTCTTGGTTTAGGTCCTTTTTTATTCTTGTTGATAAAGCCCTTTAAATGCTGAAGATGCTTTAATTTTTTTTATACCTTTTCTCCCAGTTTACAAATCAGGAAAAAAAAGACATTTAGCAGCTGCCTATCCTGTTTTTTTTTTTTTTTTTTTTTTTTTTAATTTGGAAAAATAGTGATATGGTACCTACTTGTAGTGGTCCAGAATCCCTGAATGGGTTTTAAAGTTTTCTTCTCTTGGATTGGGGATGGGCCAGAATTGGATGGTTTTTGAATGGTTCTTTTGTAAATACTTCCAACCCTTGATCCTGGGGAGAGCTGGAGCTAGAATGACCATTGGATGTGGGAGTATGCTATAGTACTTTTGGATTTTTTATAAGTTATTATTAAATTTAGGTCTGGAGGCTCCTGGGAAGCAAGACAGAACTCTACCAGAAGGAGCCTGAGCAGCTGTGAGAGGGGAGGAGGTTTTTCTAGGCTCTGATTCCTGACAGGAGCAGAATGTGTCTTTGAAACTTGAAACACCTGGTCTTTTTTTTTTTAATTTTTATTTATTTATGATAGTCACACACACACACAGAGAGAGAGAGAGGCAGAGACATAGGCAGAGAGAGAAGCAGGCTCCATGCACCGGGAGCCCGACGTGGGATTCGGTCCCGGGTCTCCAGGATGGCGCCCTGGGCCAAAGGCAGGTGCCAAACCGCTGCGCCACCCAGGGATCCCAACACCTGGTCTTTTAGGTAGTGTCTGTATCTGGAATGAGGGACATCAGGAAACAAATTCATGACTTTGTGAGTTGTAGGTTAATATCAACATATAAAATTAAATTACATAGAATAATGGGGTTATTGCCTTTGAAATACATCTAAAATCCTTCCACATTCTTTGAGCATAGCAAACATTAATACTTTTACCTACCATTTAGATAATCAGTCGTCTTTTGTCTTACTAAGTTCTTCAGAAAGAAGGACGCTTCCACAAGGCTCAGGTTCATTAGATCTGACATAGTTCAACCAGTGTCTTTGCAGTTTTTCACAAAGTGAAGAAGATGGAGAAGTGGAAGCATGAGTGCTGGTCCATCTCATTATATATCTGTGTCAGAACCAGGAGGGGAGAAACCAAGGAAGAAAGGCTCAGCTGGGATTTTTTGTAGCAATGTTAACAATTATTATTTTAAGGCCATCTAAGAACTAATAGCCTATATCAGTATGTCAGTGGAACTTCCTTCCCCTAAAACATTTTGAAAATTGAAACATGCAAAAGGACAGTTATATTGGACAATGGACATACAGAATTTACCCCCCTCCCTTTTTTAAGTGTTGGTGAACTGAATTCAAAAATATAGTTGATAACTAATATTTTTGCTTTTTCTGTTTTTTTCTTTTCCTTCTTTAATTCTTAGGATAACTGATTAGTTTGTTTCTTTGGGATGAACTATCAAATTTCTCCTTTTCACCAAAGCTTTAAGAAGTGCATCTTGTCCTTAGAGCAATTTGTGGGCAGGCATTTGTACGAGCACATGTGACACTGTGGCTGATAGAAAACTTTCCAATTGTTAAACATTCTGCTATATTAATAAGTGATTTGAGATGTGTGATTGGCAGATATGTTTCTTATTATTTGCACAGTTTATACACTCTTATGATACTATGTATGTATATAATTCCTTTAGTTATATGCAGCTGGATAAAATATCTTTTTATTTTCATTTCTCTGCAGAAGAACTTCCTCATTGGGTACTGTCAGCTATGAAGTGTTTGGCAAATTGTAAGTACTAATTATCCTCCAGTTTTATAAGATTAACAGAAATTAGTGCCCTGAATTAGAAAATATTTTTGTTCAATGGCCTGAACATTGATTTGACACCTGTGAGACTGGCAGTTAATTATTTTGGGACTAGTGTGCTTTTAGTGATGAATTTGTGACTTAGTGAAAGGGCTGAGTTATGGAATATTTTTAAAGGAATTTTGTGGTTCTCTTTTCTGGTGGATGTAATCACACTACAGATAAAGTCCAAATTACTTCTGACTGTTTCATTACAGTCAAGAAAAATCAGTTATAATGAATATAATATTTGCAGATAGCTGCCTGTTTACAATTTATACATTTTTATTTATAAGGCTTGTATTTATGTATAAAGCTTGTAAAACATATATTCCTGTGTATGCTGTGTATTTAAATCTCAGTTTGCTCAGCAGATCCTATCTACTATTGGCCTTTTATAGAGCACCAGTTTAAGTGGGGAAGCAATGTTTTAGAAGACTAGTCTGACTGATAAGCAGGATGATTTGGAAGCAGGAGAACGTGTGTGCAGAGAAACATGAAGGCATCTTTCAGTAATTGGATATAAGGTGATGGGGCCTGGATTGTGGTGGTCCTTCTGAGGATTTGCATAGGCGTAGGCAGTCCATTGCGTAGGCATAGATATCACTTCGTTGCCTATCATAGATGCCATAAAGAATGTGTTGTTATAGTATCTCACTAACACTGCCATTTTTCTGGGGATTTTTTAGAGGGCTAAACCCAGAGAGGGGATAGTTAATGGCTTAACCCAAACAAGTGATTTTAGTGAGAGGAATTTTAGTTATTTGGCTGACTAATAATGATGATGTTTGTCTGTGGGACCTCTCATCCTCAAAGATGGCCTCAGAAAGATACCTTTTGGTTAGGGCTCACATGTATAGATATAGATGTAATAAAATTTTGAATAAGTAGACTCTGAATGATTTATTGAGCTGGTGTTAGTTTTGTCTGATTGAAATGTCTGATTCTGTTTTGTCTGATTGAATGAAATTAAGATAACTATGTAGTTTACTGTAGGTCATCTCAGTCAGTATATGGACAATGATTACATACTATCATTCTGAATATGAATATCAATTATTAGCTTGTGTGAAGCCCAAAGTTTTCTGTGTTTAATTATTAAATTTTCATTGGTTTCTGACTAATATTTTGAAACCTCTGAGATGTAGAGTAGTTTTAGCTTGGGAGAGTGCTTTTTTCTTCTTGCTCAACCATTTGAACTAAATAAAATTTAAATTACATCTTTGGTCAGAGTTGGCAATGATGAGATAGAAGGTACAAATGCAAAGTTAAATTACCCATTTCTGAATTCCTGGCAAACCAAGGATTTGGAAGTTGATCAACTGGTAAAGAATAGAAGAAGCCAGTAAAACAAATCTAGGGGCTACAATATGTTCTGTAATATGTACTAAGGTGTGGTTGTGATACAGATTTTTCCATGGTGATTAAAATGTAGTGAAGAGTATAATTTTTCCCTCAAGTGAGTTGTAAACATAATGCCACAAAAAACTGCTGGAGGAATATTAGAATGACTGGAATTTTGTAAAAATGAAGGAGCAAGATGTAAAGAGCAACTTTGTGATGTTCTCTATGTATATGAGATGGTATTATATTAGGTAGAAGTTCTTGGGAACAGGGACATGTCTTATATGGATCAAGCATGAGTGCTTTACAGATGTTTGGCATTTTCATAAAAATGCTTGTTTATGTGTCAAAGGAAAAAGGTGACCAAAGGCAAGGAGGTCCTTTGAATAGTTTTGTGATAATAATAAGTTTTCCAAATTCTTGTTGGCCTCCCAAATTTACTTTGACCTTTTCCTTATCCTTCTTGAGTCTAGATTCCCATTATAGTCATCTAATAGGGAACAACAGGAAGGATAGGCGGGCTCATTTATAGGGTATTTTGAAGGCCTCTTGCCTCCTTTTCTGTAAATTTGCTGCTCACCTCTTGCAGGACCATTGGAAGACCATGTGTACATTCTTTCCTGTTGGTCAGCCTCATGGTTGGCCACAGAATGATGGCCTGATAGTAAATACAAAAATATGTTAACTGTGTTTTTCTTCTTTGAGCATATACATTACAAGGATTACAAGGATTCAATAAAAAAGAAAAAAAATGGATGCAGGCAATGTTTTTCCAAGATCTGTCAGGAATAATATGTATAAGAGATATTCTGAAGTTCATGATGACTAAGAAACAAAAAAGTCTTAGAAATAAGACCTCTTCTCATGGGGCCCACTGTGCACTTGTGTTTTTACAGAAACTTTTGTTTTGTTTGTGTAAATTTTTAACGGGAAAGATGAAATGTTCATAAAGGGATATAACTGCTTACAATCAAGCACATACTTATCTTGGAGGGGGCAGTAATTCAAGGCAATGTGGATTGCTTGCTGAGATATATCAAGGTAATTATTTCAATTGACTAAGCTTGGGGTATTTCAGAGAAGGAAGCAAGCAAGAATGGATGACTGTGTGTTGGCTGCTAGGTTAACATGGTACCACCTATAGATCTTCCATAATTTAATTATTTTAGTCAAACAAATTAAGTTATTTTCGAAGTATACAGATTATTAAAAGTTAAGAGGGTTTTAAGGAGGCCAACACAAAGCCAATTTCACATTGTCCCATTGGCCTAGAAATGTGAAGGCCCAGAATGTTTCACTGTGGTTTTTTTTTTTTTTTTTAGTTTTATCTTTTCTCTTTTGTTGCAGTGATTCTGGAGAAAGGCTTTCTTTCAGCTTTTGCTGGTCTTACCATTTGTTGCTCTGAGGGTAGAGATCTCTTTGTGTCTTAGTTGTTTAGTCTTGTGTTCTGCTGGCCCAGAACTGGCCAGTGCACTTGCCTTTCTTCTTTCTCCCATGCTGTGTGGAAATTGAGAGGACTGGCCAAACTGTTCCTCGTGAGGCTACTTGCCATTTCCCTCAAGGCACAGGCAGGTCTGGTTTATCTCTCCACTTGGCAGTGTAAATCTGTGGGGTGTGTGTGTGTGTGGATTCCTGGGGGCATTTGCTGCCGTATCTATAGAGAGCTAAGCATTTCTTCTTGTTCCTCTTTGGCCCCAGATGCAAGTGGATCTTTGCCTTTCTTCTGCTGAGGGTATGGCTGGGACCACATTGTTCCAGGCTTCTTATAGCTACCCCAACTTTGAAATATGCTCTGCTTGATACACTGTCTTTTGAAGGTTGGTTGGGGATCAAATAGAGCGTTTTATAATCAGAATGAATTACAGGACACAATGTAAAATCTCCTTTTTAGACTATCTTTAAGAAAAAGAGTATAAGTTCTTATTAGTCTGAAATAGTTTAATTGAAGGTAGAAATTGATTAACTCCGCTCCGACTCTAGGATTTAATAATATAGCAATGATAAAATAACGAAAAGCTTTGAAAATTGCTTTATAACTTGTCTATTACACAGGTGAGCTAATTATCATCCTGGTCAACTGTGTCAAGACTAGGAAAACATTGAATATTTCAAAGAAAAATAATCATCGTCTACTTTAATAAAAATGCCTTTCAGAAGGATGTTAAAGAAAGAGTGGGTTTCTTTTAAAATGCAAGTAAGGCAGTGATTTTCCTTATTGTTTTATAGTAGATTTTGATTTATACATAAAGAATATTTGTGTAAGCAAATGTATAATGTCAACTTATATAACCTCAATTTTCCCCATGAAAACTTATCTATTCTTGATATCCATACACACTATACACATATGCACAGAGACTAATCCTTAGAAATGATTGTCCCATTAATGTTTCTTTCTCTGTCTCTCTTTTTAACAGGGCCTAATTGTTCAGATTTGAAGCAGCCTATGTATTTAGGATTTGAAAAAGATGTCTTTAAAACCATAGCAGATTACTATGGTCACCTGAAAGAGCCTCTGCTTACATTTCATCTTTTTGATGCCTTTGTCAGTGTATTAGGTAAGTTGGAATATAATGAACATGTGCCTGTGTTTTACTTATTTTATTTTTATTTATTTTTTAAGATTGTATTTATTTATTCATGAGAGACACACAGAGAGGCAGAGACATAGGTAGAGGGAGAAACAGGCTCCCTGTGGGGAGCCTGATGTAGGACTTGATCCCAGGACCGGGATCATGACCTGAGCTGAAGGGAGACACTCAACCACTGAACCCCCAGGTACCTGAGCCATGTGTCTGTATTACTGACTTTTTTCCATTTCACTTTCTACTGTCTTGACTTCCATAACATTTTTGTTTTTGTTTTTAAGATTTTATTTATTTATTTGAAAGAGAGAGAGAGAGACAGAGAATGCAAGAGAAAGAGCAAGCATGAGCAGGGAGGGGGACAGAGGGGAGAAGCAGGGTCTCTGGTGCAGGGCTTGATCCCAAGACCCCAGGTTCATGACCAGAGCTGAAGGCAGATGTTTAACCGACTGAATTACCCAGGTGCCCCTCCATAGCATTTTTGAAATAAAAACTGAAGTACTTGGCCGGTTGCAGTCCTCTTCTATGAAGGAGGAAAAGAAAATGGTTAAGCTCTGTTAAGAAACTCAAAATGAGGGCCAATAGTTTTTACTTCTTAAGAAAGAGTAATATACTATGTGTCATTTTTGTACAAAAAAGTACAACTTCTGTGGTAGAGAAGAATGTAAATTTGACATTTAGTGTTCAGAGTAAATCTACTACTCTGGATTTGCCTTTATGAACAGTCAAGTATGGGAGATGTATTTTCACCTAGAAATCTAATTTCTTTTCATAGAATGAATAGGTTTTTGTAGGACTATTTGTTATTTGTGACATGAAAATAAATATGGTAACTTTATCATTCTCTGAAACTTGTTCCTATTCTTCACATAGATCTATGTACTTCAGAATTTACAGTGTCAAAAAAGCAGGGCTGAAAGGAAAAACAATCTACATTAATGCTCTAGGTCTTTTTGATATTGTTCCTTTCTTCTTGGATATCAGATTTTCTGTGGCTATTGTGATTGTTCAGTAAATATTATTGTTTTATTGTCACAAAGTTTGCTTTAATGACCAAATCATTGTGTGGCTATCATGCTCTGTTATGTGAATTTGTGGGAACTCACATACTCTTATTGCTGAGTATTGTGGGGTTTAGCTATCTTTCCCGTCTCTTCTCTTTTCCTTTCTCCTCTTTCCATCTTACTTTCTCCTTGGAAAGTATGGGTGCCACCATAGTGACATCCTCATAAAATAAAGTATCAGCAACATTTGAGTAACTTACCTGATAGTACTTTAAATTTTAATATTCTGTAGACTTTTTGATAATAAGAAACAAAATATAACAACTGTAAATCATGTGCATAAGAATGAGTGTGTTTTTAAAGAGATTAATATTGGGAACAGATGAAAGGATTAGGCCTGCTAGTGGGGTTTGAGACCACTGGGTTGGTCTTGGTATTTTGTGTTCAACCGAAGAGGATTGAGGGCTTCTCTCCTTCTGAATATCACACCTAATGATGGATACTTTCTGCTGTTTAATATGCATATGGACTCATTGAGCCCATTCTCACTTTAGCTATTTACTGCCATTGTACCACTGGTAAAATAAGAATTCTAAAGACTGGATTAAAAATTACTTCTTAGGTTTTCTTCTCATTTTCCATTTTCATAGCATTCTGTTGTAAAAGTGATCTGGGTTGGAAACACAATACTTGGAACTTTTTTTTTTTTTAGAAAACAAATTCCAATTTGAATCAGCTATGTTTATGGCATCACTGGTCTCTTCTACCACAGTTGTTTGTTTTGATCTCAGCTAGGAATTAAAGCTGATTATTTCCAAATTGATGTCAAAATCAGCCACCCTCTAAAATATTGCTTGTACAGGGTTTAGGATGGAGAAGTATGGACAAAATGGAGAATTTATGGCAGTTAGATATTTGCAAGAAGAGACTAATGTGTACGGATAGTCAAAATTCATTAACTTTCCCTGTTCCAGTCCTTTTCAAGTGAACATATTTGAGACACTCTGTATCGGAAACCATATATTTTAGATCCTATGTAGTAAAAGAAGAAATAGAAAGTCTTCAAGATTACCATAATTTGATCATTATATGACTAATGAAGATCATCTAGTAAAGCAATCCTGTTAATGGCTGTGGAAAAAGGTAATATGTATAGATATGTACAAACCAGATACATAAGTTGAATCTCAATGGAGTTGACTCAATTCTTCAAACCTTTTGACTTACTTGGATTGCAGTAGGGTGACATTAGATAGGTAAGTAATAAAGTAGATAATCAGTGTACTTTGTATAGAAGCTAAACATTCTATAGCATTTTCATTTTCAGTGGAAATGATTTGCAGTTTAAGTAATGAATTTTTTGAGGCTTATTCCTTTGCTTCTAAGAATGAAATAAGCTAGCTTGATGCAAAACCTGTGACCTTGAGAGCCTTTAGTCATTGTTACTTAAAGCAAAATATCTAAGCGTTCTTATGGGAAAAAAAGAAAAAGATATTTTTGGAGATGTAAGACTTGTTCTTTACTTACAATAGAAAAAATGATTTTTTAAAAGATTTTATTTATTCATAATAGACACACATAGAGAAAGAGAGAGAGAGAAAGAGAGAGAGAAAGAGAGAGAGAGAGAGAGGCAGACACACAGGCAGAGGGAGAAGCAGGCTCCATGCTGGGAGCCCAACGTGGGACTTGATCCCGGGACTCCAGGATCACACCCTGGGCCAAAGGCAGGCGCTAAACTGCTGACCCACCCAGGGATCCCCAGAAAAAATGATTTAATTTGGGTCAGCAGTCTGACCTAACAACATGATTATGTATAGTAATTAATTTTCATTTCCAAAATGGCAGTTTCTTTTTAAGATCATAATTTGTCTGATTCTTAAAATGGGGTGAATGAGATAATCTAGCATCTTTCACTCACTTCACATGTACCCTAGAACCCATTGAGCTGTGTAGCTTGCCATAATTTGTCATGTCGAGAAAAAAGAGGGACACGTATGAAGCCCAAAAGGGCAGGGGATGGTGTTTGGATAGTTGGGTGACTTGTGGGTTTTATCATATTATAATTTGAGTTTCCACACTGGTGATCTATGGGGTAAATCTGACTAAGAGATATATCTGGTTTAACCTCTTTTAGAAAGCTATTTTTAGAAAGAAAATTTAATTAATTGCCAAACTTGAAGAAACAGGAAATTCACTAAGAATTTGTGAATCTGTGAAGAGAAAAATTTGAGTATCTAGCAGTTCTGGGCTTGAATTTCCATGAGTGCAAACTGCTGCATTTGTGTAGCTAGTGCCACCACTAGAAGGAGCAAGTGTTCCAGGGACATGAACTCTAATTTACAAACTCTCCAGTGTTTCCCACTGCTTCTGGGACTCCCAAGCCAAGTTCACGTGACTCCCTTTGCTCATTTATTCCTTTTGCCTGCTCCTGCAGGTTTATTTGCTAGGCGGCCAGAAACCTGAGTAGCTCTTTGCTGCTCCTTGCCTCTTAAATGCAAAGTTTAGAAAATGCCACTGAAATTCACTAGGTTGATTGCACATTGGATTACCTAACCAAACAGTTGAGATCTTCTTCTGTTTTTTAACCTAGAAACAATTAGAAGGGTAGACTTTCCATTCTTTGGTTCTTTTGTCTAAGACTTCTCAGAGATCTTCTGGAACTGTGTACCATCATTGCCTTACTATCCTCTTGCTCTCACGTTTTTGAGTTATCTCAGGGTCCTTCTCCCATGGTAATTCTTAAGGGAAAACAATTCTTTTTTTCAGAGACTGCCTAGTGGGTGTGCTTAACCAGACAGAGGGCCCTTGCCCATGTTAGTACAAAGTTCTTCCTGGTGGTGCTCTCTGCTCTCAGAACCCAGGGGTTATGTCTGGAGCTTCTGAAGATGTAGATGAGCCAAGGTAAGGATATTAAATCACCTCCAAATAAAATGATTACCATTATATCAAGAATGATAGGAATAAAGTGGAATTAGGGAAATGCCTAGATATTCCTTGGCTATAACAAAATACCTAAGCTATTTATAAACATACCAGTAATCACTAGGATAACTGAAAAAACTTTTTGGAAAAAAATCAAGACTTTTCTCATACCATTCATCAAGATAAATTCCAACTTAGAGAATTAAATGTAAAAAATGCAAATCTAAAATACAGTTGATATTTATCTGATGCTGGGTGGGTGAAGGACTTTCTCAGCATAAAAGCAAAAGAAGTCATAAAAATGCTTCAGTGGTTTGAGACTCTTCCTGTAGAAAAGGGCATCATCTTATACATGGGTGAATCTGTGCCTACTTTTAAACAATTCACAAAGGCAACTTGTTTGCCTTTCCTTCAAAGCCTTTGGAGAAATAATCCCTCTTGCTATGTCTTTCTTTGGACAAGGAGTCCTTGCCAACTGCTCTGTAGTCGGAATTCTTTTGCATTAATATAAACTTTTTCCTTTTTATATCTCTTCTCCGTGAAAATGAAATGGATTTTTTTTTTTTTTTATTCCTTTGGTTGTTCAAAAACTACAGTGAACCTTCTTGAGTCTCTCATTGTCTGGCTGAAAAGACATGGTCTCTCTCACTGGCCTTTCAGGGAAATCTGGACCCTCTCAAAAGTCTGCATATTTCACTTCTTTTTTGAAGCTCCCACAAGGGATAGCTTATTGATGACATTGCATATGTTAGTAGAAGCATCAGTTCTACTTTGCAAAAATAAAAATTGTGTTTGTGATGATTTGAGAGTGGAAATCTAATGTAACCATTGGAGAATGGGAAGGACAGTGACAAAGGTAGGGGACCCACAAAGCACTGACAACTCTTAACCTGTCGTGTGGTCCTCAGGCTGAGGTGTCACCTAATAACCTATAACATAGAACATTATTTTAATTGTGTTTGTTTTTATCATAAGGACAGTCAGGTTTCTTTGAGTATTCAATTGTTTATTCAGTTATCCTCCATCAATCCAGCTAAATAATGAACT